TTATGAATGACTAATTGATATTTAATTTTAGAATTTATTTGTTTTTATTTCTTCTTATTTTTTTTTCCATTTATTATATTAATATTGTATATACATACGTATAAACATTATAATAATTATTTTATAAAATTTTTTCATTATAACTTTTTTTTTCAAAAAAAAAAAAACAAAGTACTACAATAAATTCTCTTTTAATATAATATTTGGACCCCAACGAAGAAAAATTTTGAAATGAATCTATATGAATAATAAATTAAAATATTAATTTCATAATTCTTTTAAATAATTTTGATTAATTAAAATCAATTTTTTAAGTAAATGCTGTATAATTGGTGTACTAAAGTTGGATGCACTGCAATGTACTCAACTGTTGCCCTATATATATATATGTATACAAAATATTATTGATTATTCTGAAAGTGGAAATATTTTATTCGGAAATTGTTTTAATTCCACAAAATATTTTTTCCGAAAACTCTGACATATATTTCTAGTATAAATAAAATAATATTGGTAAAAAAACATTTAAACTACAAAATTTTCTCAATTTATTTTTAAAACAATAACTAATGCAAATTTCTTCATACAATTTATTAAAAAATATTTCTACCCGAACTGGGCTCGAATCAGTGACCTACTGCTTTCTAGGCAAATACTCTACCAATTAGGCCAGAGAGGTATGTAGAAATTACCGGCACATTATTCTTCATATTGCTTTATACTGCAATCTTCATGATTATTAAGTATTATTTACATGAGATGCTACATGCAATCATCTATTTGAAACACACAAACACAAGAACATATAAATTTGTATTAAAAACTATTAAATGTATTACTTAATAAACTTAATAGCAAAAATAATAATAAGAGAGTTACAAATATAAATTACAAAATATTTAGCTATATATATAAATATTTTTAACAATTACAATTTTAATCTTCCTTTATGATATTTCGTCTCCAAATTTGTCTGCGCCTTTCTTTTTTTAATTATTTATATACTACAAAAAAAAAAGCAAATTAAATTAACAAAATTATATGGAAAATAACCAATTATTAAGAAAAAAAATATATAGAATTTTGATATTTAAGAACAATAGTTACCATCATAGCCATCTTACTACATTGAAGCCCCTAAATGTATTCTAAATTTTATATTTTACAAAATATGTAAAAATTTTATTCAGATAAGTTTTTACCTTATATATTCGAAATTAGATAAAATTCCATACTGATAGATTTATTCGTAAAACACCTTTTTTCAAATAATTTATGAAAATAATTTCGAAAGGCAAAAATTATTAAAAATTTTATCAGCGCTTTATTTTATAAAGAGCTACAATTAATAACACCACACCATTATAATTATCTGTAATCCGGCACCGAGAACGTGATGAAAAGCTTTAATATTTTTATATGCTTATATTCAAACATACATATATGTAAGTATATCATGAATTCGCGAATATACGAAGAATTGAGCCTTAATATTTTAGAAAATAAAAGAAAATAAAAAAAAAACAAAAAAATATTTGAATGACACGTTAAAGTGTTAGAATTTTTTTTTTTTCAAATATACAACAATAAAAATAATAAAGAAATTAACGTTTTTTTAAAAATTAAAGCAACATAACAAATTTACAAATATATATTGTATATATGTATACTATTATATTCAATAAATTAGCAAATTCATAATTAGCGAATTATAAAAACAATATTAAAATATTTTTTTTTTTTTATGAATTATGCAATCATAATTCATCTTCTTTTTAAATTCAACTTGAAAATAAATGAATTTATTTTATGTGTTTTAGAATTTTGTTTTTATATTTATATTTGATTATAGGTCACCTATATTTAGAAAAATAGAAAATTCTTTATATTCAGTTCTTTAGAATGAAACTCTTAATACGTGTGCATTTTGCAATTGAATTTTAATTATTACCCTTTATAATATATTTAAAATGTAGTCACAATTTTAATAAAATAATCTTTTATATTTCACATTTTTAATAATATTATATATAACAGTTAATTGAAATATTTTAACATTATTGAATTGTAATATTCTGTTTACATATTGCAATTAAAGAATAATTTTTTAAGAATCTATAATAGAAATTCTTAAAACATATTTACCACTTTTCTAATTCTTAAAAATTTTTCTTGTTGAATTTTTATTTGAAAAATTATATCATATTATAATAGATTTCTTATGAGTAGTGCTATATGTGATTTGTATATAAGAAAGAACTTAAAATTCTGATGAAATTTTAAATTGAAATTTCAACAAAAATTTTCTCTTTCTAGAAAATTATAGATCTAAGCATAATTCATGAAATTTTGAACTTTGAAGTTATTTTTTTCTAAATTTCTGAATTTAGTTTGCGAGGAATATAACTCATTTCACCCCCTGGGAATACGTGTATTCATATGTATATATACATATGTATATATAAAATACGAATATGCAATTCGAACTAATTATGTTTATTATTCGAATAAAATGTTTATGAAATCAATTATGAATTGACTATTTAGAATTTTTAATTCTAAAACTTTTTTAAAGGGAAAACAAAGGTCTATTTGTAAAGATTTAATTCTAGTATAAATAATAACAAATATTAGTGTATTTTAAATAAATAAAATTAAATAAAAATAAACTAAATGATTCTTATATTTAGTTACCGCAACAAATATGCAACATCATTCAGTGCATATATATACATATTGTATATATATATATATATACGTATAGAGTCAAAAACTCAAGAAATATATAACAACATAACCATGCCCATATATAATAACCTAATATAATATAACAATTTCGACTAATATATTTTAAAACTCAAGAATTTTAAAGGTGATAATTTTACAACATAATAATTAATTTATTATAGAATTTTAAAAATAATGTTAATAAAGGTTATCTTAATACAAATAAATTTTTTTTACTATACCATAAATATATAATATAAAAATCATCTTAAGACCATCATTAAAATTGTCTACAAAATATTGAAGGGAAAATTTTTAATAAAAATATTTAAATTCCACATATAATAATGATATTTACCTCCTTTTTTTTATTATTATTATTTAAAAAATATATTATTAATTTGCACAACTACAAACATTCAATATGACAAGCCTCTGTTCTTTAAATAATTTCAATTATAATACAAAAGTACAATTCTTATCAATTTATTGAAAAAAAAAAATTTTTTTTTTTCTATATTAATAAAATTAACAAATCGATGTACAAATAAAAAAAAAAAACAATGCATAAGAAAACAAACATATTGTAAATTAAATAGAAATATAAGGAAAAAAAAAATAAAAGGAAGAAAAAAAAAACGTAAAATACTTATAGCATCACGTTTTGAGTGCCGGATTACAGATAAGCCAATTATTCTCTGTTACGTTCAACTACTGATAAATACATACATACATACGTATTTATATTACGAAAGTCAAAATATTTTTTAAAAAAATAAATTTATTATAGATTTATGTTTGTACATTATGTTTTTGTTATTTGTAAATATGGTACTGAATACCGTTATTTGAATATGAAGGAAATTTTATGTAAAATTAAAAACTGTTATAAAAATAAATATATACGTATTTATTAAATTATATAAACGATTAGTTGTTTTTTTTTTTTAAATGTAGGTTTAAATAAAAATATTAATATAGAATTAATTATATTATATAATTACGCCTATTCAAACATAAGTACATATGTTTATATAAGCTTTACTCATTTAAACTTGTTTTGAATTTATGTGACAAGTTTAGCTACGATCATATTATTTAAGTAATATTATTAAATATTTACCTTATATATAGATCTTATATTTTTGGGTACTTTTAAAAATATTCTAATTAATGATGATCATATATAATAACAAAAGATTTGATATGTGATTCGTTTCACGGCAAAACAAACTAAAAGGTTATTATAAGCAAAAAACAAACTAAAAAGGAACTTTGCTAAACGAAACTTAATAGTTTAGTAACATATACTATAAATGATTATTCATTTATGTTATATATATTAGAAAGATAGAGCGATTTTGAGTTTTTTCATGATCACTATATAGTAACTTGCAAAGCGGAGAGTGAAAACTTGCTTTCTTTACGTATAGAAAAGGACGATCAACAATCGGTTGTGCGAGTGCGAGGAGATAGTTCACCTGCGACTGAGATATTTCCATAGGGCGGAAATCTCACGCCTTACCATTGATGTAGTTTGTCAATATTTTATTTAGGACTGACATAGGCGCGGATAAGAATCACAAAACTTCTAATTGTGCTAAACAGTCCGTTAATTCTTAGAATCTGAGAAATTTGTGAGAAATAAGCTGGACAAGAATGAAATTCGTGAGAATTCGAGAGATATAAGCTGAATGTGTTTTTTCTATAAGACTATATAAAAAAAATTATAAACAGAATTATATAAAATTTAAATGTTCAAATTTTACAACACCTTGACAACACTTCACTATTTTAAGTGTAAATACACTTATTATGAAATTTACCTATTCTGATTAAATATAATTCTATTTTGCACATTGCAACATATTAAATTACAGACCTACTGTAAAATATTATTAGTAAACAAATGTAAAGTAATCATAGCTACCAAAGCAGTACCACAATAAATTTTGTACTATTACCACTATTACCAAGTGCCAATCTCTTAGGAATTCATTGTTGTTTATTAAAAGAAAACAAATTACGAATTCCTACTCATAATTACGCGTAATTTTATCAAAAATTATTATTCTTACTTTACCTGATATAAGAATAATTAAATGAAAAAATAAAACTTTTAGTATTTTTATCAAAATATTTTTTTTTTAAATTTTAGAAGGAATTAAATAAATTAATTTCGAATACCTAAAGTCTTAAAAAATAAATCAGAAAAAATAAAGAAATAAAAATGTCAGAAGAAATTAATAAATCAAAATCATTTGAATTCTTAGATGAGCATGAGGAACCGGTTAAAGAAATAGAAGATTTTCTTGAAATAACCTCTCAAACCGAAAGTGAAACATCTGAAGTTGAAAATACTGGAGTTTTACCTGAAGATCATCCATTACTTGAACGTTTCCAAAAAGCTCTTCGTGAACATTTATTACGAGTTGAATCACAGCTTAACAATGAAATATTTGATATTGAACAACAAATTAAATTGAAAAAAAAAGCCCATGAGGATGTTGGTTGCAAATTATATGATATGCAACAAGAAGTTAAAAAACAGAATGAGATACTTGAAGAAAGCTCAAAACAATTAAAAGAAATTCATGAAAAAAGGATTAAAGGTGAAGAAAATTTAATACCATTAAGAGCAGAATATGATGATAGATTAAAGTATCACAAGGAATTAAAAAAAGCTTATAATGAAAGAATGTTAGAATTAAGCCGATTACAAGCTCTCGAAGTAAATATTAAAAAATGGTCTGATGAAATTGAAGATGAAATAAGAGCTGCTAAACGTACTGTTAACAAAGATTCACAAGATCAAAGATTAAAAGCTGAAGAAAAACGTTCAATGGATTTAATATTATTTAATTTGGATGCTGAAATTAAAAAGAAAGAACAAGAATTAGAAGAAATTAATGAGCAAACTACTGAACAATTAAGAATTAATGAAGTTTTACAAAGTAGTTTTAGTGATGCATGCGCTGATTTAGATGCTCTTCAACATGAACATAAACGTTTAACAAATGCCTGGAATGAAGTTATCATCTCAATTCAACATCGTGACAAAATTTATTCTCAAAATAAAAAATTACTTGAGTAAGTTGTTATAAATTAAATGTATGTGTGCATGTAGGTACTAGAATTCGAAAATTATCAAAAATTAAGCAAAGGGTACATCAAATAATTATTCAACATTATTGTGAATTATTCTCATTTATAGAGCTGAAAAAGAGGCAGTTAAACTTGCTACCTTGAGCATAGAAGGATCTAAGAAAAATGCCTCCAAAGAAATGGAAACCAATGAACGATTAGAAGCCTTTAAAACTCGTTTAATAGAGGACAAAAAAAATCTTTCCCGTCATGGTAAGCATTAGAACTTTTTAATTCTTATCACTTATTTTTAATAATGTTATTCTTCAAACAGTTGAAAAAGAAAGTACAATATTGAAAGATCTTACATCAAAGCAGGAACAATTGAACGCTCTTATTGAACAAACTGATAATGATGTTACACTAGCTAAAGAGGAAGGAAATCATATCACTGTTCAACTTAAACGTATTCAAGATACTCTTGATAAAGAATATCGTACAAAACTTAAAATTGAAGAAGATGTACTTACTTTGGCTCAAGATCAGTTAACAACTGACATGGCAACCGAGTATAGAATGAAAATTTTAAGAGAAAATCAATCTAAACGACGTCAACTTGAATTAGCTCTATCTAATACCGAAAAAAATCTTTCAGTTGGTTTACTAAATTTAGAAAAATTCAAAGGAATATTGGGTAAACTTAAAGATGAAAATGATACCTTATTAAAAATTTATAATCAACTGAATCAGCAAAATGAAGACTATGAAAATGAAATTAAAGAGCTTCAAAAATCAAGTAATTTAAAATTGAAACAAATCGATAATTTGAATAGAAAATTAGAAAGATTATTAAAAGAAACCCAGGGTGAGGAAATCAGCCCAACTGAAATGAAAGTAAGTAATTAATTACTCATTATTTACTTCTAGAATCAAAAAATATGCTACATACATACATATTTCGTTTAATTTTATTTTAGATCAAGGAATTGGAAGCTCAAATCCGTGAAACAATTATTGAAACTGAGAAAGCTCAGAAATTTTGGTTAATGTTGCAAGGCCTTTCAGTTAATTTATCAACAAAACGTTCTGCCCAACTAAATGAAATCCAAATGATTAGAAGGCGTAAGTTTATCCAAATTATACATACATATAAATACATATTTACATACATATGTACATATGTTTGTTTGCATACATTGATTCAAATCAAATTTATCCAAACTTAATTAATGTGGCTAATTACCCATATTTTATTATTTTAATTAATAAATTGCAGAAATTATGATAAACAATCAAAAATCATTGAAGGTTGATAATAGTATTGTGGAGCTCGAAAATCAGAATCGTGAAATTCAAAGAAATATTAAATCATTTCGAACAAAAATTGAATTACTCGGGAAAAAATGTCAAGAGAAAAAGAAAACTCATAATGCTAATGAAGAAACGTGCGAAACTTTACAAGCTGATTTTATGGAACGCTTAAGAGTAATTAAAATTAGATATAATATGTGTCTACTTTTAGTCTAAATATAATTTGCAATGCCTATTTTTCATATTATTATCTTGGAAAAACATATGTACCTACATACATATATTATTTTACATTTGTATAAAAAAATTTTATTTTTATTTGGAAGGTACAAGAAATGGAAGTTTTACGAATTGAGCAAGAAATCAAAGAAGTATTTGCTGAAATAGAACTCTTTAAAGAACAAATATTAGAAAAAAATCGTGAAGCTTTAGCATGGGAAGCGAAATATAAATTAATTGAAGAAACGTTACAATGGAAAAAATCTGAAAAACATCTAGAAAGTGAAATGAATCAAATGAAAGCCGAAGTACATCGTATGGAAGTTCGTTACAGTCAGTTAAAACGTATTCAAGAAAAACTTGTTACTGAGCTAGAATATTGTGTATTACATCGCGAAAAAATATTTGATAATGCCATGATCAGACAAAAAATGGATGGAACACAATCTAAAAGTCGATCAAACATCCAGCATAAATTGATAGAAATGAAAAACAAAATTAAATTAATTCAAATTGAGGCAATATCTGCCGAAAAAAAGTTAAAAGAGTTAAATGAAGCTTTTGAATATTTAAAATTAGAAATAACAAATCGAAAAACTGAATATGATGAAGCAAAAGAACAAAACAAATTAATTATAAATGAATTAGAGCAATCAATGTTACTCAAATATCAAAATTTAGATAGCATTGTAAGAAAGCAGCAAAGAGCTAAAAAATATCGTGCTTTAATCACAATGAAACCAATACCAAAACTATCAAGAACTGAATCTGGACTTAACATGGAAAATCAAAAGCAACATGAAATAAATAATTCTTTGGTTCAAATAACACAAGCCCTAATTGCTGATTTTCCAGCTAAGACATTTTTGTTAACTCGAATACTGCAAACATTAAAGGATGACTAAACTTCTTTGCAAAATTGTTAATTGCAGTTTTTGAATTTAGAAGCACATTGAAATAATCTTTTCATGAATACACGATTTTCTACCACAGTTTTCGAAATTTGCACAGTATGACGAATTCGTTTTTCAACACAGTCCTTTAAATTCTAAAACAAATAAAAATTTGTCACAATTTAAATAAATTTTATAATTTTTCTTACTCAGTTTTATTTATATTAAATTTAAAAATACATTTGAAATTTAATGCAAACTATATGCTCAATTAGTTTACATTAGTTGAAAAAAGCCAAAATTATTTGAAAATTAAATGTTTTATTGTTGCATTTGTTCATCTAAAGTTTTTAACATCCATTCAGGCTCGGCTGCTGAGATTTTCTCTATAATACCATTAACTTGATAACATAAAGATTGAATTTGTTTATCCCACAGGGGAAGAATTTCACGAGCTACAATAAGATATAATTCCAGAAAAAAACAAAAAATAGAAATTTTTGTATAAAAAATACTTTCAAAATGAACAATTCCATCAATTTGGTCTATGTAGCCGTTCATACGACCCTCTGTTATCATTTGACTTGCAATTTTTTCCGCTTTTGCTGGTGGAATTTCCAACAATGCTCCTAGCTCTTCAAAGGTAATATTATTATATAATTTACTAGCTGATAAAAGATTATGTTCAAATACAGCACGATCTAGTATTGAGGAACCATCTAAAATATTAATCAAAAGAATTAAAATCAAATTAATGTTAATTTTTTCTTTTGGATAGTACAAACTCACCTAATGTACTAGCTTTCTGATGAATATGTAATAGAGCTTCAAATTCTTGTAATTCTGATCTTCTTATAATTCTATCCAAATACATTTTTTCTAAGATTGAATACGCGGGTAAGTGTTGACACCTTTCATCTTTAAATAATGTAGCCAACATTCGAGATCTTTGTTGTCCAGCTGATGCTAAGACGGTGCAAATCAAAGCTTTTTTTAAAGCTGTCATTCTTTCACCCTCGTCAACAATTGTACGATATGATAGTTCATTATACCTCTGAGCGGCTTCAATAAATTTTCTAGTAATTATTATAATAATATTTAATTATCATGGTCGTTCTTTAATACCCACAACTATTTTATTAACTATATTTGTATGTACCTTCTATAATCTAAAACTCTGGCATAGCAAACCTTATACATAACTTGTAATTCCTCACTGGTAGTTTCCGCTTGCAAAAGAGAAGCTCTGTTAATATATGCTTCTGCTTGAACTGGATCTTCATCCTCCAGATAAAGTCGAGCAATTTTCAAGTATGTCTCTAATTTATAATCAACCGAATATTGCCTACAAAAATTTTTTTAATAAAATCTCAATAATTAGGTTGTAATGAAAGTGTTTCACTTTTGCCCTGTTTCTAAGGGTATTCCAACTAAGACATTTGCAGCCTCTTTCCAATTTTGATTACGTTCATATATTTGTGCTAAATGCTGCCTTATTCCAGCGACTTGCTCTTCGAAAGATATTACCCTGGGCTGAACTTTATCTAATGTGAAATGTGAAACCACCTTTGACACATCATCATCTAATTTACTTAGATAACTGCCTACATCCGTCAAAATTTGGCGAGAAATAACCAAACTCACATGCTCATTTACAACTAAAATATGAATTTTAATTGATAATTTTTAAAATTTCTTAACATATAGTTGTTCTTCTTACTTGCTTCTACAAAAAGTTTCAAAGTATCTATCAAATCTGCTCCTGTGTTCTGTAAGATCCCATCTAAAAGTTGCCGGTACCTAAAAAATTATGCAAAATGTATTGATAAACCACTAATATGAAAATTTCTTACTTATCTGCCTGCTCTTTGTGTGTACCAGAAAAATTCGTTAAAGCTACAAGTTGTGCCCGTAAATTACTTGCAGTTATTACCATTTTTTATTTTTGAGACAGTTGTTGAACACAAGAATTCTCTCAGTGTTTTTGGAAATATTATAATACAAATTTTGTGAATTTTCTTTCCTCCAGACAAACTAGTTTTCCAAAAGTAATAAGGGTATAAAATATATTTATTGTCAATCATTGACAATTAAAATTTCAAATCTTTTGTATGCTGGGTTATGAAAACTTAAGTGTAGTCGATTGTGTATTATGTTCAGTAGTATGAAATTGTTTATTTCACATAATATCAGAAACTTTACATAATATAAAAGTGTGGCTGTGTACTATGACACAGTATATTAAGAGTATTAGTAATCGGCGCATAATAGGTTCCTTTACGAATCTGAATTGAATTTTAACTCAGTTAATTTACTGAGTCACAAGACATGCCTATTTTCCACAAAAATAATTTATTTTTTGAAAAGTTGTTTGAATTTTAACAACCTGACTTATTATGTGAAGTTGTCAAAAAGTTGCTCAAGCATCTACCTCAATGGATGCATATCGCGTAATACCTGTGTCAAATGGTCTAATACCCGTAGCCCGTACATTTTAAATCAAGTGAGCTAAATGAGCTATACGCCAACGCAACGTGTTGGAATTTTCAGTCATGAGAACGCGCACATTTTTTATGTTTTTTTAATGGCTATTGGAAAAGGTAAAGCGCGAATTTAAAATTTAACAATATAAACTTCTTTTGGAAAATATTTTAGAATTTTAAACTTGAATAAAGAAATTGGTTTTTTGGAGGTTGTTGGAATTTTCTTGAGCGCAATTAACGATAAATAAGTAATCTGTAATATTTTTTATGATTTAGCTTTTAGGTTATAGCAAAATTATTAGTTTTTAAAAATTTGAATTATCCCAGCTAGAGATGAAATTAAAAATAAAAATTAGGGTCTTCGAAATTCAAATATCTACACACCCCTTCAGAAAGTTTTTTGACAAATCATACGTATTAATGACAAATTTTTAATGGCCTTAAATGTGCAATAATAGTAGCAAGGTTGATAAACAAAGTAAATTTTTGTATTTGATATAATGCAAGAAGGATTTTAGGTTTTATTCTTTATAAAAAAGATATTTTCATATAATGAATATACATTAACATAAAGTATCACATTTCAGTTGGTACAATCGTACCAACATGTACATCAAAATAACATAAATCTTATCATTTTTGTAAATATTCAAGTAGAAGAGTTTAAAAACGTATCTTTATTGATATGGATGTATACCTGTGTTACTCAAAATGTCAAAATTACAAAAAATTTTTTGATGCCACAGATATTTAATTACATATATATCTAGTTGTCAACAGCTGTCAACAAAGAAATAGTTAAACGCGGAAAGCTTAATTTATCTAAAAAAGCTTTTTTTATTGAAAATATTTTAAGCTGAATATGATTTTTGTTTTTTTTTTGTTTTTTGAGTTGCGTGACATTTTAAAGTTTTTGCCTTTTTGAAGAAATTGGGCTTTTCATTAATTCAGTGTGTTTTGTTTTTTTAGTTGTTTTTAATAAAAGTTTTCAACCCAGTGAATTAATTCTATTTCGGCAATTTTTATTTTATTTGTTATTTTTATTTCATAATTACTACATTTATTTGTATTTATTTTGTAAGTTTTTGACATTTATTAAAAAAATAAGTTTTTTTCAATAAAATTTATTAAATAGAAATTTCATATTGGCATTATTTAATATTTTGTTTAAAGTGAAAAACTAAAAATACCTGTTGCATGAATGTTTTTTTTTAATTTTTTTTTATATATACGCCTATCAAATAAAATTTTTTGCTTAAATCATCAAAATGTTAGTGTTTTAGCATATATGTAGCAATAAATACATCACAACAGTTTTATATTAGAAATTTAGCATATTAGTAGGTATATGTACTATTTAGTAAATAACATAAGTGATGAGCTAATCTTATTCCAAAGTTTATAAATAAACTCCAATGATTATATTTATATACTAAATGTACTTATGTAGGTAGGTAACATGTTGACATGTTGATATTTTCTTTAAAATCAAAATTCCATTTAGGGAATTAAGGAAAATTCCATTTAGGGAATAAAGAGACTTATAATTATTTTATCATAATTTTTAGTGAAAAAAAATGAAGTCATAGCTATTTGTCATGAAAATATATGTGATTTGAAACAATGAATATTTGTTTATTAAAATTAATTTATTTAAAAGAAGTGGCCAAATCTACAGCAGGTACCTAAGTACATAATATGTATGTAAATAATATTGAATGAAAATTATATTTAAAGATGAAAACCCTATTTAATTTAAACTATATTGAATAATGTACTATATACATATTATTATTTATGATATGGTTACCATTAGTTAATTTTAATTAATGTAGGTTAAGGTAAGATCTAAACTATTGCAAATAGAAACCGATTAATGCATAAGAAAACTACATGATAATTTCAAGAAAATATTAGCTATCTAGCTTATAATTACTTGGTTGTATATTCTTATGTACATATACTTACATATTATTATCAATTTATTGAATAAAAATTTTTTTGTTTGAATAATAGTAACTGTAAAGTTTAATGTACATAGCCGCATATTATATATATATATATATGTACGTATGTACATACATAGCTTAGCTACAAATTTCTATATTCAGATTTTTTTTTACATTTTTCACAAAAATATTTATCATCATTTCTTCCGCTTTAAATTCAAAATATTTCTTTTATTATGCATATAATAAACAAAAAAAAGCAATACACAAAAAAAACCAGAATTAAAATCTTAAAATGTTCATATTTAATTTTTCTTTCTTTTATTTTTCATTTAATTATGACATCATAAGTAAGAATTTTTTATGCTTATATAGCATAGCATTCAATGACAAAACAAATAGTAAAAAAAAATTCAAAAATATAAAAAGATCATTGTATAACAATATAGGTATGCATATAGCATACATACAAACATACACATTATGTACATTAAAACGATGTTGTAATCAAAAACTCATTTTGAAATGCGATAACTATAAAAAGGCACCTAAATAATAACAAATTTATGTTTGTTTGTATAATAACTGAATAAATTAATCAAGTTTTATTTTAATAAAAAATGACAATGCGAAGAGAAAAATTAAAAATCTGTACATACATATGTACAAATGTATGTATGATTTACATATATAAAAAAGATGGTACTATACTCTCTTCTGACTCTAAAATCTGTAGATGTTTGCATATTTTGTGTACCATAATTATGCATAACTTAACAAACGTCTTATAACGTTTATTCGTCTTATAAAAATAAGAGGAATTCTTAATATTTAGCATCTTAAAAAAAATTTGTTAATGTAATTCTAATTATATAAATTCTTTAAATTTTTATTAATTTTGATAATAATGAACAGTAATTTTATTCAGTAATTAAGGTAGGTGTCTCTATTATTCACATATTTCACGACCTCTTAATTTATACACTCAGGTATCATTATGTATATTTTATTTTATGATAAAAAAATGTGCCTAATATTATGCTATACAAAATTTCTATACAATACAATGTCTATCACTGATAGTTTATGTTCCTAATACCAACTATAATATTTGTTTTAAGCTGTTAAAATGATAATATTAAATAAAAATTGATTATTAATTTAGATTGTTTTTTGAAAAACTATGAAAAATGGATACCGTAATTGAAATAAAACATATTCATGGCTACGGGTTATAATTTTTAGTAGAGAAATAAGACTAGTTTGTGTTTAATTTTTTGCAGTTATGTATTTCAAAATTCAGTGGAAGAGAGTGTTACGATCATTTCGATTAATATATATATAAAACAAAATATATATGTACATACACATTGAACAGAAAAACCTCTTAATAATTAAAGGAAACCTTGTGTATATGAGTAATAGTGCTGGCAATATTAGACACAGTTACCTTACTATTTATTTACTTACTATGTATTAACTCATGTTCGAATTATATACATAAACACAATTTGTGAACCATAACGTTATCGAATGGTAAGAACTTTAATCGGTCAACAATAAAGTTTCATTATTTTGATTTAACACCAAAATAAAGAAAAGATTAAATTAAAAGTAAACTACAGAATGAAGTAAATTTTATCTTATCAGATCCTTTGATTATGAATGAATTTATTGTAATTTTAAATTATCATTTATTTGGTATTGATAACATTTTAATTTTAAAGATAGGAAATAAAGAAATTCTTTTTGAAATTTTTAATAAAAAATAAAATTTCGGTCATACATAATTCTAAAAATCAAATAATTTTATATCTTTGAAGTTGTTAGAATATTTTTGGTAATTGTTAAAATTTCAATATCCAAGAACTATTTTATTAAGTTGTTGTACAATAATTTTAATTAAACTTTAATTTTTAAAGTTAGGTAGTTGAATCATTAACCAAATAATAACTTATTATACACTCATTGTTTAAGGATACTTAGTATTTTACTGTCCGTCTCAATGAATTCATGTATAGTAAGTAGTCTTGGTATTTTATGTTTACAGTATCGAAAATTAATTGTCTGCCTTAGGAATTCTACTTGTACGTCATGTATTACAATTAATTGTATTGATTAATAATATTTTATAGAAGCTTTTTCATGTATTATTCACATTACTATTTGGTTGTGCATTACGTGTTTCTAAATATACATATATATGTATGCATATGCATATATAATATAGAAATACATCAGTTATAGAATTTTCACTAAAACGTAGTAAAATTTATTGACATCATATTGTAATAAAAATTAAAAAAATGTATACCTTAGTTAAATAATATATTTTATGTTGATAAAAGTTACAGTAAAATTAAAAATAATTTTTATTTTATAGATCTAGTCGCAGAAATTCATAATTATAATGGCGGATCCAGGTTTTCCAGGCAGACATACGACAACAACAACTGTTACTCAGACCGCAGTTGCACCACAAATTCGTTTCGATAAATCATATATTAGAACTCCTTCAGGAATTTTAAAATGTGCTTGCATGGTAGGTTATTTTGGATAATTAATAAAATAAAGCAAAGAATAACAAAATTCAATTACTTTCTAGTTTTTGAATCTAGTTGGTTTCATTTGTATTCAATGCTCTGGAAATCATTCATATCACTCAAGAGGAAGTTATTTCAGTTCGATTTCAATGACAGGTTTTTGGTTTACAGGAACACTATTAGCATTTTATCTTTTTCATATTTGTGAAAAATTCTATCAAATTCCATGGCTTAAAATTGAGATGTGGTTTTGTGCAATATGGACAATTTTATATGCATTCGCGGCTGGTTTTGCGGCAGCCTATGGAATTGAAGCATATTCAGCCGCAGCTGTAAGCATTTTTTTTCTTTTATTTTAATATAATTTAATAAAAGAAAATATTTATGTATTTTTTTAGTTCTTTGGATTTTCTGCAATGTGCTTATACGGTTATGATGCATTTTTAAAATATAAGGCCGTTAGGAATGGCGAAATCGCTCAAGGTAGTAGGGTCGTATCTAAGCAAACCACATCCGCCCAAGCTTAAAAAATAAAACAAACTGCAAGCTTTAAACAAATTGCAAGTCCAAAAAAAAAACTTTATATACAAAATTAATTTTAAGCAAAAATATTTAAAATTTCTTTGGGTTAATTTAATATCTATTATCTATGAAGACAAAAAAAAATTAAATACAAAAAAAAGTCTAATATGTATTATAAAATTTTTTTCTTAATTTTAATTTTTGAAATTTCGTTTATTTTTGAAGCTTAAAAATTTTGCTTATCATTTACATTTAAATGAGTATAGTTTGAATATAAAAATTTTTTAATTTAATTAATAAGTTCTTCAACAAATTTTAATTAAGCTTTTAGAAAAATTTTAAAAATTTTAGTAATATTTTTTTGTAATGCACTAACAAATTATATAGCGAATTCACCATAACTTTAATCATAATAATGGTATTAATATCAAATCTAAAACTATGCCAGCGTGGAAATCAAAATCAATTTTTTAACTCAAATAAAAAGGATATTTATTTTGTCCATTCTACCAATTATAACTGTGTATATCAAAGAAAATAATGATAAAAGTTATTATTTTATTAAACATTTACTTTATGAAAAAAAAAATTTATTAGCATTGTGTTAATTTTTATGAACACAATGCTTTGTTTTTTTAATACAAATAATTGAACTCAAATTTTCTATTTCTAATGTATTTAAATAAAAAAAAACTCAAATTAAATAAATTTTTGGATGAAATTAAATTCAAAACGCTAAATATGGTTATTTGAAATTCATTATCTATTTTAGAGCTGGCACGGTAAAATCAAAAGTTTTACATAAATTTTACAATTTAAATATTTTTATTAGAATAAATTAGTCATTTTATGAAAGAAAAACTCTTTAAAAAAAAGAAACAAATTTACATTTTATAAAAAAGAAAAGGTCCAGTTTATAAAAAGAAAAATGCATTTTAATTATTAAAAGCAAAATAAGATTAATGAATAATATATCTATATATTTGTACTTTTTATTAACTTTTATTAATTATAGAAAATATGTTATGCATAAGTTGAAAAGTAATTTCTTATGCAATATTTAAAAATAAATACAAAATTATAATATGTATTTATGTCACAAGTGTTCATATTAGTACATATACATATATGCATAAATTATACAATATATCAATATTTTTTGTAAAATAAATTACATACATATATACATACACACATATTATTATAAATTTGATTTAAATTTCTGATTTGTATTTATATACAAAAGTTTGAATAAAGAATTATTAAGAATATTTTGTGTTACTTAAATTGCGATATAAAGAGAAATACAGATTTGGACATACTATGAGAAGTCATCAGATGACATTTTTAGGATTAGAAATTTTAAAGACCATTTTTAAATTCTTAAATTTTCAAAAAATTTTTCGACTTTTTCGAAATAAATCGACAGTTTTCTTTTAGAACATGATTTATTTATCAAAGTCATGTAATATACAATAAAAGAAAAAAAAGCTTAGAATCAGTTTTGAAAAGTTTGAATCGGTACACCTTATATTTCAATGTCTTAGAAAATTTTGTGATGTCGAGTAGTAATTAACTATTGATATCTAATTTTTTCAGAAAAATTTTGGGCCATTTGGGTAGTAATAATGTTTTTCAAGGATTTTTTCTTAAAACTATTCAAAAAATTAAATATCTTTTTACATCAAAAAGCTTTTAAAACTTTAAGTAATACTGCTTTCATAACTTTCTTTTTCAAAAATGTAGTTATCATGTTATGATAGAAAACCCGAGAAATGGGTGATTATTTTATTACAAAATCTGAAATTTTATGGAAAATTAATATGCATGATAAATTTGTTAGAATGAAAATATTTTGTATTAAAATATCTAAACCACTTTCTTATGATATTTTTTAAGAAGACTTTCTTATTTCTGAAAAAAATTAATTTCTTTCGAAACTGTTTCTTACGAACTGAAAAAAAATATTTTTAGGGTAACGGTAAATTAGTTTCATTTAACTACAATTATTACAAGTAGATGGCCAAGAATTGAAACGAAAATGTGAACTACGTAAATATATTGTGAATTTTTTATATTGACAGTTTGATAACAATGTTACATCCACTTAAATTTGATTAAAGCAGCGTGGCCCCCAATATTATATTTTGCTGTCAAAACCAGCTGTGTTTTGATAATAAAAGATACGCAAATAATATTATTAGTAGTAGTAGATAATTCATTATTGTAAAATAAAAAATGTACATACAAAATTTTTGTAAATAAGCATATATTTTATTAACAAAATTTATTTTAGTAACCGATTTTAAAAATATATAAAACAATGTTTAACTAGTAAGATAAAATATTAATATTTCGAATCTTTTAGTTCGTGTAAAAAATAATATTTTTTTTTGACAAATTGCTATCTGCAGCCTTTTAAAAAATAACATTCGTGTTCCTCAATCCATTCAATGGCAAAGATTGATATCCAGCGCTGAAATTGCAACCGCATTGAGACCATTTTATTTTGCGGTACATCCGGACTTATTTGGAAGACATCCCGAACAGAGAGTATGAACTAATCTGGTGCAAAGAATATGAATTTGAATATTGTTTTATAAATTTTATTTTAATTTTTCAGACCGTTAACGAAGAATCTCTTAAGCATCTTAGTGCACATTTAGAAGCAATACAACAAAGACGTTTGGCGCAAAGCGCACCAAAAACATTAACATTTTACATTCGAGACAAACAAATAGACCGAGGTAGGTATAAATTATTACTCTGCGTAATATGTACATATGAACAATAATGTTATAATAATATACATACATATATGTATTTCTTTTTTTTTTTAGATTCATTTAAACTTGTAAAAATATCTTTAGAAAGAAATAGCGACGTTAAATTTGTTATAAAAAAGTTACTACAAAGCGTTAATTTATCTACTGAGTTTGTTGATAAAATTAAAAGTAGTAACATTTCTAAATTACATAACGTAAATGCAAATGGTTCGCATCAAACACAACAAAAACATCAAGACGTTTATTACTCTGATTTTCAAAACTACGAGTATGAGTTCCGAAAATCTGCACAACAAGTAGAAAAAACTTTAGTGTACGTATTTATTAATTTTATAAAATTATTCAAATTAAAAAAAAAAAACTTCCCATACCGGGAATCGAACCCGGGCCTGCTGGGTGAAAGCCAGCTATCCTAGCCACTAGACCATATGGGATATATTAAAATTAAATGTAGAATTGAGTTATAAAATTTTTTAAAATTAAAAAAAAATATTTTGCATTCGCAAATATATATATGTATACATATATAATTTCTTAAACAAATAATTGTAGATTTTATATACTGGATTACACATATTATATATGTATACATTTGGTATATTTCTTTTATCAGATCGTGGCTGAGTGACAATGGGTCTACAGCTAGGGAACGTGATAAGGATCTACAAGAACTAAAAGAAGAAGTTATTAAATTACAAAAATCGTTAGCAGAAAGATTGAAATTGAAAGAGCTTAGGTATGATTGTGGTTGGAATTATGAGCATTATAGAGGATGCTTGAAAACTTTAGAGAGATTGGCAAACATGTACGAAAAGGAAACACGAATGTTGCAAGGTAATATACTTTAAATATTTGCCTGTATTACATAAAAAAGGTTTGTTGTAATTCAGGAAGAGTGGTAGTTTTTGCTCCATTTACTGGTGTGAGTTTGGAAGGTCATGTTATGCTTTTCACTGGTGATGTTTTAAGCAGTTGGTTAGATGTACATAATTATATTTTGAATAATTAACAAAATATCAAAATTAAAATATTAACATACTTTCAGTTTATTAAAAACATACCAAAACACGATATATTTCTTGAAAAAATACCAAAATATGAAAGTGCTTTATCGCAAGTTTTATTAAATATTAAGATAAGACGAAGGAAATTTATGCCAAAGAGACAAGTAGTAGAATATGCTGGTTATTTAAGTAAAATTACTACAACTTTACTAGATTACTTAACAACAAAAAAATTCCCAAAATCTTGGCCGAATGATTTGAGCAATTTTGAAATTGTTATAGAGTCGTGAGTATTAGTATTTACATTAAATATTTGAAATATTTTATTTTACTTCAAAAATTAGAGAAGCTGGTCCTTTAATGATCAGTCCTACAGGGCAAATAATAACACCTGCTACATGCCCTGGTTTCATGTTGATTGATTTTATAACAACAAATTTAGATGAAGCGAGACAAAAAGCTGAAACCTATAAACGGTAATATTATTCATAATTTTTAGATTTTTAGTAAAATTTTAAAAATATTTAATTTTAGGACAAAACATATTGAAAAGGAGCTGCACAAAAACTGCATAGACATTCTAAAGTTGAAGTCATTAACAAAAGACGATTCTGTAACACCGGAAAAAATGATTAAATGTCTTGAACGATTACTGAAATGTGGCTTAGATACAAAATTATCCGAAAATATTCATTTGAATATAACCAATTATTATTCAGTTTTACATGATGGCACTGTAAATATACCTTGGGATTTTACAGTCAATTAAAAATATATAAATTACTTATTTTTTAAATTAAATAAATCACATCAAGATTGGTAAAAATAATCTTCTTTGAAATTCGAAATATACATACATATTTAAATATTTTTATTAATAGATTTATAAACAAAAAATAGTATTAAAATAGTGATAACAAATTTTGGATTATTCAGTATACAAAACGTTCAACGCTTAGGCAATTGCTATAGTAATAATGAAAGATACAAAGTGGGCAACTATGGATTTTAGAGCTTTATATAAAAACAGAAATTCTTAACAGTTATAACTAAAGAGTCAATTAAACTTGAAAGTAGTCACAATTTCATATGTGTATATATGTATAAACAAATAATGTTTAAGAAAATTAAAATGTAAAGCCATTTTGAGATGTGTCATATATTTTTTCACAATTAAAACATTTAGTCAAAATTTCGGATTTAGAAAAAAAACAATATTGTGTTCTTAAATTAATGCATTAGAAATATTGAAAAATCAAGTAAAATAAAAATTTTATTATTTAAAAAACTTTTGACATTAATTTATTTTGAAATAGATTTGAATTTTAAATAAATAATAGAAATTAATCTTTTTAGTTAGGAATTTTACTGCGTTCGAATAACACTAACATTTAAATTTTTTTGTTTGGAAAAGGAACTGTGTCAGAAAAGTTATGTCTCAAAAATTCCGCCTTAGTTCTGGTTAAGAGCCCAAATTTTGGTATTTTCGATAATTCAATTAAAAGTTAAGACCTTAATATAATGCACGTTCGATAAATCTAAAGTGCAAAATTTTCAAAATAGCATATTCGAAAATGACATTTTACTTTCAGTTCTAAAGTATTTTTAAGCTTTTTATAATTACTGCAAAAACATTATTAGTAAGAATGCATAAAAATTTTTAATATTCAAAAATTATTCGAATATGTTACAAATTAAAAAGTAAAATATGAATATTATTATATATTATCGCCGCATATTTAAAGCATGCGTAAAAGACTTGAAATTTAATTTAGAACCTTCAGCGCATATCTAAATTATCAAAAGTTTTCATTCTTTATATGTGAAATATTTTAAATTTGAAAAAAATCATAAAGATAAAAAATCTGAAACAACAAAATAGTTAATTCCTGTAGTTCTGCAATGATGCCAGATTTTTAAGATTTAAGTTAGAATTTAAGTGCATATCTGAATTATCGAAAAACTCCGAAGGTACACAGACATAAACTGGAAGGGTAACAATGTATTGGCGTACAATCGAATTTTGGTAACCGAAACGTTTTTGGTTAGCATTACTTAACTAACACGTTTATGAGATTTTATGGACATTTGCTTTTAGCGCTTTTTAAATAAATTTCAAACATGGTAAATGAAAATAATGAAATTAATTTAACCGTTTTGTATGAGGCTTCATTTTGATTTGATTTATCAAATCTAGGAAAAGAGAAAAGTTTTGTGAGGAGATTAATTTCAGATATGAACTGTTCTTTGACAAAAGATCGTTACCAAACCCACCCGTTACATGCAACTGATATTTCGATAGAAAATATAAACTTGAAGTTCAATTTAGATTAATGAATACTAAAAGGAACATAGAATTCTAAAAATTAATACACAAATGGTTAGTGCCCATTTTAATACAAATAAAATTTATGGCTAAAAAAACAATAAAAGAAGTACTTTTTTTTTCTGCATTCAATTTATTATCTGGCATATGTAAAAAAAAAAAATAAATTTAAATTTAATTTTTCTTTTGTATTTCTGTTGTATCTTTCTTAAAAAATTTGAAGAAAAAAATTATTTGCGTGTATAAATATGATCTTTTTGTTTCCAAATCGGTTTTATCACATTACATACAAACACTCGTTTTAAAAATTAAAATTTTATATACATACATATAAATTTTTTTTTTTGGAAACTGTTTTCTTTATTTCTTTTATTATTTTCTATTTTGGAAAATTCAGCGTTTAATTTTCTTATATAATATTTTTTTTTATATTTAGACATATAATATACTTGTACATACATATATTATTTTATATTATAATTTTCAAAATTCATTTATATTTAAATTAAATTATGGCAGTCTTTACAAATTTTTTTTCTATATTTTGTAATTATTTCATAGTTTCAACAAAACATATTTTATTAATTTTTTAATTAATATTTTTTTAAAAAGGATTGTTAATTTTTCTATAATAGTTTTTCCTAAAAATTTTTTGATTTTTTTTTTATATTTTTTCTATTAATCTATTATCATTACTATTACTATTTTTTATTATTATTTTACTATTACTATTAATATACTATATTATTATTATTTCTATTTTAAACGCTGTTTGTTTTAATTTTCTTGAAATTTAATTTTGAAAAGTAAATTTTTTTTTTATAACTAAAATGAAAAATAACAACAGTTCCTCGAAAATAGAAAAGAACAAAATGAAAAATGTAATGCTGTTGTATGTAAATTTTGTGTGTTGTATTTATTGCATTAAAGGTTTACAATTTTATTTAAAAAAAGGCGACTAACTTAGAGATAAATTGAATGAGATTTTTTTTTATTTTTTTTTCCTATTTTCAGATTTGTTATCTTTTCTTTATTTTTTTCATTTTTCAATTTTGCAGCAAAATTTTTAAGTTGTTTTTATATATTTAAACATTTACAATTAAATTGAACAATTTTGATAGGATTTCAATAATAAAAAAAAAGGTATTTATTTCATTTTTTTTTGTTCAATTGTAAATGCATTTTAATTAAATTTAAATATTCCATCAATATTTATTAAAAAAAAATTGTGAATCACGGAATTCTGAAATTGGAAAGTTTTTTTTAAATCTTTTGAAAATTAAAAATTCCAGAACAACCATTTGAAAAATAAATGAAAAAAACTGGAATTTTTTTTGTATAAAAGAATACTCTATTATTAAAATCAAAATTTTGGAATTGCTGCAATTTTTTTCATTCTCATTTTACATTTTTGTTTGTTGTTAAAATGTGCTTTAAATTTTGTACATTATACAAAAATGCAATTAAAAAGTTACATAAATACATTGATTAAACATTCAAAAAAAAATTAAAACTGTTTAACTTTATGTAATCTATTTAAACAATAAATTAAAAATTATTGTATTTATTTTAAATTTAATATACTTTCACGACTTATGCATATCTAAGGACTTCTACCAAAATGTGGATCTAACATCAAATTGATTTATTCAGTAATCGCTAAAGAAGTCAAGCTGGCATTAGATTTGCATTGTGGTAGGAGTCCTAGGACAAAACAATTTTCGTCAAAAGCCAAATAATTTGAATTTTTTTTAAATACAAATTCATAATCAATGCACATATTTTTTGTTGTTTAATATATTTTTTAATCCACAATTTTGATTTTAAGTGATTCACAAAAATTTAATTTTTTAATTTAATACTAGGGCCTTTTTGTTAAAACTTGTTTTAAAATAGTTTATTAAGCCCAGTTTTAAAATTTCTAAATTTTTAAAAAAAAAAAAAGGTTTTTCTTAATTTTTTTGAACATTCTTTTTTCATCATAAAAGTTATTTAAAATTATTACAAAAAAAAAAAAAAAAACAAAAAAAAAAAGCAGAAAAAAGAATGTTTATTTTAAATTCAACTTTAACAGGTACACCATATTATGTTTCATTTTCACATAAATTTTTTTTTTAATTTAGAATTTCAAAACAAAATTTTTGGTCACAATTAAGCTCATTATAGTGTACATTTAATTTCAATAAATTTAAAGAAAAATAATTAAAAGATTTTCTATTGAAATTGTTTTACAAATATTTTGAAAATGTGATTCTGATTTCATTAAAGAAATTTACAATTGTGTAATTGAAAATGTAATTGAAAAAAAATATTACTTATTCAAATTTTTAAATATAATATAAAATTATACAATACATAAAAGTGTACTTAAAGGAATATATTGATTTTTGCAGTTTTTCTTTAATTTTAAAAAGAATTTTTAATTTCTTTTAAATCGATTTTCTTTAACTTTTCTTTATAAGTTTTGTACACAGCTTACATATGGACATGATACATATTATTATTTTGTTTTAGAAAATATAAATATTTTGTGTTAGTTAATTAATGCATTTTGTATTTCATAAAGAATGCAATTTTCGGAGAAACCAAATATTTGGAAATTTATATTAGTAAGTAGACAAGAAAAAAAATAATTAAAATTGTATAAAAAAATATTTAAATAAAAATGTTGCAAACAATTTCAATGCTTAACAATATTTTCTATGAAATTATGGCTTGGTTTCCTTTTTATAAAATCTTAATAGCTTGAATATTTAAATTACTGAGTCAGAAAGAACTCTTTACAATATACTAAAATGTTTGAAAATTTACACATCATGCACAGAATTCATAATTATTTATATAAATATAATACATATAAGTTAGAAAAGTTAAATTTCAAAATGGAAAATGTAAAATGAAATTTTTAACTTTTACTTTTTTAATTTGGTTTTTATTTGTTTTTTTGCATGCGTTTTGTTTTTCTATCAATTACACATGTATTACGAATTCTTTCCTATAAAATAAATTTTATTCCTATTAAACGAAAATATAAATATTTTCATTTAAGAAAACAATTCGGTTTGTATTCAAAATTTTTTATAAATTTAATTAAATAAAATTACGCGTTTTTTATTTTTAAAATAACCAATCAATATTATTTCAATAATACTATATTTGAAATATTGAATTTTAAATTCAGAAATCATTTTAAATTTCCCAGTATTAAGACTTTTCCTTTTTCTTTAAATGAAAATTTCCATTCAGGATAAATTAGATGATTTGAAATATAAATTTCTTAAATTAATAATAAATTAAATTGCTTTAAAAAAATCAATGCAAAAAATTTGATGAAATATTATGAAAATTTGAACTTATTCGAAGTGTAAAAAAAAGAAACAAAAATACAAATATGAAGTGCTTAGTTAATAAATTCTAGATAAATGATTCATATTTAGTTTTAAAATGCTTGTAATCTATGTACGTTTCTTTGTTTGTTTTTGTGAGTGAAATCACATAAAAATAAATTTATACATTTTTATAAAATTATTTATCTCCGTTTTATTTTATATAAAAAGCAATTTTTAATCTTTTTATATGTTATTAAAGAATTGGGCTTTTACGTACTTAATTTGGATTTTTGGTTAACTAACTTTGTGAAGTTTGATTTTTTTAAAACTTCTTTATCTCATTATTTTTTTTCTTTTTTAGTGTTTATTGGACAGTCCAAATCTATTTCCTAGAAAATTTACCTTTTAAATTTAAATTTGCAATGAGATTAAAAAGAGCCTTCATTTTCACTGATTCTTTTGTGTTTTGCTTTCAATAACTTTGATATTATATTCGAATTGAAGGAAAATTATTGATAGATACATAGTGTGAAAAAATTTAATTAAGTTTATTGAATATAAAACATAAAATTAAATTATGAATTGTTTAAACAATGAACTGAAAATGCAATCTCTAAAATGTATTTTTTCTTCGATCTTCGTGATTTGAATTCTTTTATTTTTGTATTTTGTTTTTTTTTTATTAATACATAAAACGTCTCACAAAAAGAGACAAATATTATAAATTTCATCTTTATAATCTATTTTTCTTTTCTCTCTTTTTTTTGTTTTATTAATTTTTCATGCTCTTGTTTTTTTTTTTCACAATTTAATTTATATTAATGCACATGATTAAATTGGTTCTTCTTAGCCTTGTCTTGTATATTACAAATTTTTTTCTATTATGTATATTACTTTCTTCCTTTAAAAACTTTTTTTAGTTTTCCTCTATTTTTTCAAATTTCCTAAAAAAATTATGAAATTATTTTTTATGTTTTATGTTTTTAATTAAATTTACTTGTATACATTTTTTTTCTATAAGTATGTACATTTATCATGTGGTAAATACGTAATTTTTTTATATACAATTTAATTAGAAAAGAATATAAATGAAAATTTAGTAAAAAAAAAATATTTCACTATGTTAGGTTAGAAATTGGGAAAATAAAATGAAAAGTTTTTAAAAATTTTTTTATTGTCAACTATAAGCAAGACTTAAAATTAATTCACTGATATTATATTTTGTGTATAAATTTGCAGAACCTGGTATTTTGAATATATTTTTAAGAATTGATTTTTTTTTCAATTGCGATTGCAGAGACAATATATTATGATTGATATAAATGAATTTTTATTATGATTTTAGTAAATAATTAAATTTTCTTATTAAATTTTTTGTACAAAAATATTTTGCAAACATTTTTATTTGATTATTTCCTACTTGTTATATGCTTAAGGTAAATTATATGACAACAGGAGAAGAAAAAAGTTTTCTGGAAATTTTTAACAATTTACAGCTCTATAAATTAAAATTGTTGAGTACTAAAATTTTAAGCAAAACAAAAATTTTTTACATATTTTTAAAGAAATTCAAAATATAAAACTATTATTTTGAATTTATTATTTATTAATATAATTTTGTTTTTTGGAAAAAAGAGCAAAAGATAAATTTACAAAAAACTGTTTTATTGTTCAAAATTAAAACTCTATATTGAAAACAAAGAAAAAAATCAAATAAATTTCTATTGATATTTAAATGTTCTTTTGCACTTTTTTTATCTTATCATTCACAAATTACAATTGCTTTGTTTTTAATACATTTTTATTTTTACAATAATTTAATATTGAATTCTTAAAATATATTTAAACTATATATTAAGTAACTTTTATTAAATTAATTTTTTCAAGTTTATTCAGTTTTCATATCCATAACAAATATGTTGTGTAACATTATTTTATTCAAGTTAGTTTTGATGAATTATTTAAGATTTTTTTATTATGTATCGTATATGTTTAAATCCTGTTACTTAGTTACAATTTTAAATAGCATTTTAATAAAAAAATTTAATGGTATTAGTAAAAAATTTAACTTCTTCCGAAATACATAATCTTTAATTTGTTTTAGTTAATGGTTTAAAATATATTTAATAAGTTTTGAAACATATACATTTTTTTGTTTACATTGTTTTACTATAACGAAATTGAATAAACCATAATAGTATCCAATAAAACCTTACAACATACATCCAACCAGTCTTGTCTAGATAAAAATTTAAATTCTTCTAAGTAAAAAAATTAAAAAAGAATCAACTTATATTTATTTGAATAAACAAATCAACTTTATTATTTATTTTCATTTATATTATTTAATGTAATTTTAATTTCGTTGCAATACATTCGTAATATCATAAGGTTTCAATCTGAATGTTGTGAGATTCTAAGTCACCTAATACATAATTCAAATAAATCTTAAAAATAAAAACTCAACTAAAAATATATAACATTTTGTTTTCTAAAAGACAAAACAAATATAATATGTAATATAATTAATAATAGAAAAAATTATAAAAAAAAAAAACACTGGCATTGATAATATAAGCATTTGAAACATTTTTATTTAAAATTTTCTTTTATTTTTTTATTTGAATATGTATTTTGCTTGTTATACATATTACATAGTTATTATTTTCGTAATTTATAATTGGAAATGACAATTTAATTTTCATAAAATAATTGAAAATGTATTCAAAGCATGACATTTTTTGATTAGGCTACGAAAAAATTATTTCGATTTTAATAAAATTGCATTAAATTTTATAAGTAAATTGAAATATGGCAAAAAAAAAATACCTTAAAAAACTTTCTTTTTAATTTGGAATAAATTTGTACAATGAAATTGGCACTGCAAAAGTTAAAAATTTTCAAAATAATAAACCATTACCGATTTGCATTTGTTTTTTTTTTTTTTTATTTATTTATTGGCTGAAATGGTTTGAACAGTGAAAATAATGAAACTTTAATTATTTGTGTAGAAATAAGTTTAGAAATCAATTAAAATAAAGTTGATTTTAATTTTTAAATTGCATTTATATTTTATGGTGTTATAGGAAAGATGGCTTTCTTTTTTTCTGCAGTTATTTTTTATGTTTTTATCGTTTATTGTTTAAATAGTTTTGTATGTTTAACTACAATATTGTATTTTTAAACAGATTTTATAATTTGTTCAATATTTCCAAGATTCGCTCTCCTAATATCAAAGAAATATTATAACTAGATGATTTATTAAAAAAATAATTCAATTTTAAATAGCGGATGCGTTAATTTCTGTTGTTTTTTTTGTTTTTTTTTTTTAATAAAAAAGTAATAATAAAATGAAGTTTTAAAACGATATTGACTCCCTCCCCTTTTTAATTATTTAGTTATTGATATCAACTGCACAATTTTACTTATGCTCACAAAACATTTTCTTCAATTTATTCATTTTGGAAAAATGGTTATGTCCAAAATATGCGAAATGTTTTGTATTTTTCATTTTTCTTCTTAACAAACTGAGGTTAAAAAAATGTAATTACAGATATTTAAATAAGAAATTTAAATTCCCTCATTTTCGTTAAAAAAATATTATATATATTTTATTGATTTTTCTTGTAATTTTTATTTGATTTTTTAATTATTTTGATAAACAAAATAGTAAGGAAAAAGTTCATTTGCTTTTATTTTTGTTTTTTATTTTAAATCTCGTGTATAATTTTTATTATCATATTTAATGTTGATATTTCAAATATTTCCTGATCTTTTTTTTATATTTTGATAGCAAATTTATATGTGATTCTACTATGAAATTAATTAACTTTGGTTGTTAATTATTATATGAAGTGATAATAGTAAGCAGGAAGATATTACTTATTATTTTTGGATATTTTTTTTATTTTGTTTTAAAAAAATTTTAGGTATTCAAGATAAAGTTGAGAAGGTATAAAAAAAAACTTAATATTTAAGATAATCATTCACACAACTTATTAAATATATATATTTCATTAATATCACTTTATAATTTATAAATTGCTATAATAAGACAATCTTATACTTTCATATTTTTTTAAAACTATTATTTATCACGGTTATGATTTTTATATTATATTATTATTATAACATTATTTATTATTGCGTATATATCTCTCTTTATTAAATTATTTAATTTATTTCCTTTCTGTAATTAAATATTACACATAATATATTTATATAGCATTCGTTCAAACTAATATTTCATTCAAACATTTCACTCATAAGACTCATGCCTAATTTTCATACATAAAATTATTACAAATAACTTCAATTGATGAATTTTGTTTGTTTTACATGATGTTATATATTTAGTGTTTAAAATTTTCAATTATTTTGTTTTTTTTTTTTTTTCAATGCTTCAATAATGTAAGTTTATATTTCTTTTTACAATTACTATGTACTTAGTTTTCTTAATTTTGTAGATATTCAAATTTTAATTCATTCACTATATTCAATAATGTGGTTGAAATTTTATCTTGAAATTTTCATATTTTCCTTGCAGACTTCATAATTTGTGCAATGTTTGTAGATAGCCTTTTTGTCATCACATATTCAACTGTCGGTTGTAGTTACAATTTTAAAATTTACTATCAAATAATATTGTTTAAATTCTTAATACTAAAAACTGGTTGTTTATTTTTTTTATTTTGTTTTTATATTTTATATTCCTCCACACTCCTTTTACTTAATAGTTTTTTGTTATTTATGTTTGCGCAATTCATTTTAAACACACTTGACTTACGCCTTTCTTTTATTTTAATACATTCTTATTTAATTCATTTTTACACAAAAAAAAAATTCTTTAAGTTTTTGTTTTGTATTCACACTTTTTTGTAAATTACAATGTTTATTTTTATTTGCCTACATCACTATTAATTTGTTAGTTTTAATATTTGATTTTTTTCTTTTGTTTTCTATGAATATATTAATTATCTAAATATTTGTTACAATTATAATTTTAAATGGTTTTTAATGTTTAGTTTTTCTTTTTGAATTTATTCAGTTGTGGTTGAATTTAGCTTTTTAAATGATTTGCGTTGATTTTTTTATAAAAATTTAATTTTTTTAATTCAAAATTGATTTCTTTTCACTTGCTTACATTCCCCTCTTCGTTGGATGAACTATTGTTAAGATCATTACTATTACTAGCTGTATTAGATGAATTTCCATTATTACCAGACGTTGAATTTTTACCACTACCACTATTTGTATTATTTTCAGATGATCCACTAGTTGAATCAGATTGCGTTGGCGCTGACATATTTGCGACATACAATGATGGATCAATTACCTTAGGAATTGGTTTGATTTCAGTACCCAATTCATGTTCAATTCTGTGTAAGTTGAAACGATCATCATACGTAATTAAGTTAATAGCAATACCTAAAATAATGCAATAAATGTAATAAATTTTAAAAGTATATTTTTCTTTAGACTAACCTAAGTGACCAAAACGACCAGAACGTCCAATACGATGTAAATAAGTTTCTGCCATTCTTGGGAAATCAAAATTAATAACAACATTCACAGCCTGTACATCAATACCACGTGTAAATAAATCCGAGCAGACTAGATTTCTGCACAGACCTTGTCGAAAATCGTGAAAAACTCGATTTCTGTGCGCTTGCGCCATCCTTGAGTGAATATAATAGCAACAGTAACCCAATTCAGTAATTTTCTTTGCTAATAACTCAACACGTTGCGTTGAATTACAAAATATTATAGATTGATTTATTTGCAATTTTGAAAATAATGTATTTAAGCAATGAACTTTTTGACGTTCTTGCACGAACGCATAATATTGTGTAACACCTTTTAATGTTAACTCTTCCATTAAGTTTATTTCATATGGTTCGCGTAAATGTTTCTCTTTAAAATGCTTCACCGTTTTCGGAAATGTCGCCGAAAATAGTAATATTTGTGGGTCTTTTGCTAATTTCTTAATAACATGGTCCAGCATGAGTTCGAAATCTTGTGATAATAATTTATCAGCTTCATCTAACACAAGAATTTTACATTGAGACATATCAGCAACTTTTTTATCCATTAAATCTAAAATACGGCCAGGTGTTGCTATTATTAATTGAACTTTTTGATAAATTCTCATTATATCATCTTTTAAATTTGTTCCACCAGTCGTCACCATTACTCTTATATCTAAATGTTTAGCCAATTCGATACAAATTTGTGAAGTTTGTAAAGCTAATTCTCTTGTTGGTACTATTATCAAGGCTTGAATAATATGTTTTGATGGATCAATTTGTTCTAATACGGGAATACAATAAGCACCAGTTTTTCCGGTTCCATTTTTAGCTCTAGCTAAAATATCTTTACCACTTAGTGCTATTGGAATAGCAGCTTCCTGAATTGGCGACGGTTTTTCCCAACCCTTCTCAAAAATACTCATCAATAATTCACGTTTTAAACAAAACTCTTCAAATTCATTCCCTCTTGTATCTGTCACATCCTATTTTATGATAATGAAAAAAATAATAAAAGGAAAATAAGCAACTTTTATTAGTCTGGTTAAAAAAGGCTACCATAAGTATAAGAAAAAAAATTATTTAAATCAAATAAAATTTCTGAAACAAAAATGGTTTTTGAATAATCATAAAAATAATTCGTTAACTTAACTAAATACACATTTAAATGTATATTTGGAAAACCTACAAAATCATTTCTTATACCCTATTCAAACTGCAACGACTAACATGTTATACAGTGTTTGAATTTTATATAGAAAACATTTTTCAAAGTAAAATATGTTTTTCAAAACAATGATTTATTTTTGGTATTTTTTCCTCCAATCAAAGGGAATTCAGAAAGAAATTTAAAAATATTTTTTGAAGAATTTTAAAGCCATAATAATTTTTAGCAAATTGAAATACAAAAAATATTTCAAAATACAAAAATGATATGAATACAAAAATATGTTTTTCAAGCAAGTTTAATCTCAAAAAAAATAGCTTATTTAGTGTGAATACCATTCTTTATAACATGTTAATCAAACAGCATAACATGTTATTATCCTCTAGTATGAAAAGGATACTATTTAACAAAACAGTCACAAATATAATATTCCTTATAATTTTATTGCATGACAGAAATTTTTGTATAGAAATCGTAGGCTTTACTACTAACTTGCTATTGTTTTTACTTTCCCGATATCATTTTAAATATTACGTTAAATTAATTTAATAAAAATTTAATGATATAGGTACCTATGAATTTAGAAGTATAAGTACTTATGGAATTTGTTCCACAATTAAATTGAATGAAAATTTCACATACAAAACGTACATTACCTTACCTAATAAAATTGAATTTGAAAATTAAAAAAAAAATAGTTTTTAAAGAATCGTACTGGTATGTAACAATAAAAGATAAATAATTTGACTTACACTAGTCTTAGGTCTAGTATCTTTTGGTGGAATTTTAAGTTTTGCCTTCCAGCCGATATCATCATTGGTAACAGCCGTTTGGCTAACAGTCTTATCGTTGGTCCCCAAACTAAAATAAAGAACAAAGAAATTACAAACAATATAAATAATCAATCAAGTTTATTAAAAAAAAGTATTTTCACCTTTTTGGGGTTCCATGATTATTTAAATGATTCATATTTTCCGTCATCATTGACATTATATGTAAAAACTATAATTTTTTCTTTTTTATAAGTTTAATTTTGTATTGCAGTTTTTTTTTTTTTTTGTTTTTAGTTTTAATAATAAATAACTAAGATTTCTACAAAAAAAAAATATTCAAATTCGGCGCTTTATTTATTTAAACACAACTTTTTTAAAATTTGATGTTTTTGTTTTTTTTACTCTTTGTTTTATTTTATAATGTTTTTAAAGGTAAAATGGATTTTAGAGAAACTTTGAAAATAATTTTTATTTAGACTGAATTTTCAAATTTGTATTTTCACTTCTACAAAAATACCACTTTCTTACAAAATAAGTATCAAGTTTTGATTTTTTTTTCTAATAATAAACGTATAAGTTTATGAAATTCTGTTGAAATATCACGATCTATCGTTTTTTAATATAAAAAATGATAAATTTTGTGATGGATGCTAACACGAGATAATGCAATGTTCTTGTTTTTCCTTTTTTTTTTTTAAATATTACTTAAATTTTTAAATGTTTTTAAATAAACGCTGTTTGTCTTTACATTCACAGAATTTATATTTAGGTCTTTCTGTTTTCTTTTTTTGTTTTAATTTTAAATGCTTAAAATTAATAATCATTGAATCACAAAAAAATATGTTTGTTTTGTTTGCTTGATTTTTTTTTTTGTATTATTAAATTTGCACTTAATCGAATGAAAAACAAAACTTAATTAAAAAAAGAAAAAAACAGAAGTGTAAAAAAATTTGAACTTATAATTTTTTTAGAGTACCTAATTTTTTTTTATTTGAACTGTGTTTTCGTTTTATTTAAAGTTTTTGTTTCAATTTCTTTTTCCCTTTGAAGGAAAAAGAAAAAAATTCTTTTACAAGAATTTGGCTATTAAATTGAAATTACAGCTTCACTTTTTTTGTAACTAACTTTTTATTTTAAAATCTTTGCTTTTAATAAAGGTTGTCTTTAATTAAAATTAAAGAAATTGTTTAATTTTTTGTATTCTTAAACCAAAGGATTGATATCTAAAATTAAAAAAAGAAAAATTTATTAATTTCTTATGAATTTAAATTATTTTAATTTTAGTTTAAAAAATTTGATTTTCGCGCTCATTTCCTTTATCATTTCTATTATATTAGAATAATTTGAGTTGATTAAAACCAGCTAAATATAATAAAAAATAGCTTGAGAATTTCACGATAACGTTTTAATTTTCTTTTGATTAAAAAAACTGTTTTTTACTTTTAAAAAAGAGACAGAACATGCCTGACAAATGAACATGTTCCTCAACCATGATATGTCTACAAATCTATATGTTCCTCAACAATCTATATGTCTGACAAATGAACATGTTCCTCAACCATATTAGCTAATTAAATATAATGAAATGGGTTAAGAAAGCAAACATTTTAAAATTTTAAATAAGTTTTAATCCTGCTACTTGTTAAGTGAGATGAAATCGTGCTAATTGGATAAGTAGTAAAAAAAACCTCACGTCGAAAAAAAATCAAATTGAAATAATTCTTTGCTTTGAAAAAAATGTCAAATTTGGCTTAAATTAAATTTGAAATAAAAGCATTTTATATTTTGGTCTAACTTTAACAGTAACTGATTTACATTTTGAAATATACGTAGATCAAATGTAGATGGGCATGGCAAATTCAATCCGATTTAAGCATTTGCTGCTTATATTCACAGAATTTTAAAAATATTATAAACTGTAAGAATTCGAATTTTACTCTTGTTTGACTAAATTTTAGCTTACTAGTTTCATATAATATCCAATAGTAGTTGTCCAAATGATTTAAAAAAGCTTCAAAATAATCTTTTAAAATAAATTTGTTTTAGGTGTTACCTACATAGGTAACCTACTTAATTAAAGAAACAAATTTTAATTTTTATAATTAATTTTAATTTAAGTTCTTTGAATTCGTCACATGGCGAAATGTACCGCAATAAAATGATTTTCTATAAATCACACTCTTAAATATACATTTCTAAGGAGGTAGGCAGGTAGATAATGTTTAAAATAGCATCAACGATAATATTTTATGTTACTTTAATGTTTTTTCATATGATTTAAAATTTTTAAAGTTTTTAAAAATAATTTAAACAAAAATTTCTTTCATATTCTATTTTTTATTATTCTGTGAAGATAAAATTATAATTTAATAGTAACCCTCCCTTCCAGTTGTATCAAATTAATTTTGTTCATTCAATTTGAGAAATATTTTAATAAAAAAAATAATTTTTAACTTACAGTTAAACTTGAAATTGATTATCAGTTTCGACTATTAACAATATTTTTACTTATTTCTTTTTCTCTTGTTTAATGCATTTCTGATTACACGTAAATTGATACTGAATGGATTTTTCGTTACCGAATACCGACCATGCAAGCAACACTGAAAAAAAAATTCCTCATTTTATACAAGCGAGACAAAAGAATCGGTCATGTTCGGAACTACAACTGTTAGATTTAAATTGAACATGAAGAACGGCTTTCAAAAAATTTTAAAAATTATAGATCAATTTTTGTTGTTTTACAAAAAATATATTGAAATTGATAGTTATTTTAAAAAGCGCTTATATTTTTTTGGGTAAATCAATTAATTATAAAATTAAAATTTAAAGGTCTTCCGCAATAATCTAATTCACTTAACTACGTATATACTTATATTTAGATTATATACAAATAAAATACTAAATGCCGTATTTTCAAATAAATATAGCGCCACTTAACTTTCTCTCAGTTGAAAAATAAACAACGTGGTGTGGGAAAAACGCTGTATTTATTTTGAAATATAAAAAATAATTCACTTTTCTGCAATATATTTAAATAAAGCAGTTCAATCAATTATTTTTGAAAACGTTTATCGAAATTTAATTTCGAATCCTAACTTTAGATATGGATGCCTAGCCTATCACATTCATGTAAACTTATGTGAATTAATAAATATACAAATGTACATACATGTATATTAAAATCTGTTTTATATATGTATCTATATGTATATACAAAATATATATGTATATATGTACCTACAAAGTTATTTGGAACATATTGAATATTATATTCAAATATATATAGGGTTCCAAGATATATGTATGTATATATATTTTTTAAATTTATAATTTGTAAACTTTAATTAATTTGTTTTAAGCCGTCTTTTATTGTTTTTATAAACAACCCTTTCTAAAGGCCACTGCACTAATTTACTGTTCTTCCACGTACAAATAATTTTTCTCACACAACTAAAAATTAACCAGATGCCCCCATCTTGAAAATCATTTTTTTTCTTTTATTCTAATTTTTTTTTTTTTTGCTAAACATTTATCTTTTCTAGTTGCATTTTGGAAAAATTCTTAGTTTATTAGCACGTTATATTAGTTTACTATTATCATAAAATATAATTTTGCAAAAAAACAAATTACCTTAAATATTTTATTTCAATTTTATTTTACAATTCTTTTCGGAACTCACTTTTAAAATACGCTTTTCTTTTTCAATAATGAACGTTGCCGTTCGCGTTTCACTTCAATTCAAAAGGGTATTGCCATATACAAAATTTTCAGGTTATTAAAATGAAAACATTTCTTGAAGCATTTTTTTCTTGTATGTTAGATATTTTGTTAATAAATAATAATTCTTTTTAAATTAACAAAATTTTCGAAAATTAAAAATTAAGCATCAAATTTTATTTTTCGAAGAAAATTTTTCCGAATTTTATTGATTTGCAAATCTCTTTTAAAATAATATGCTTTAAATTAGAATTCAAATAAAATTTAAGACAATTTGGTTTTGGTTTACTAAGGAAAATATTTTTGATATTTAGTAGCTTTTTTAGTAACATTTGATAAATAATAGATAAAAATATATTTGAAGATTGTCTTTTAAAACTCTTTATATGTTTACCATGATTTATTTTTATTTTTTTCGAATTGAAAGTAATAATTCCTTGTTTTATTGTAAAGAAAGTTCAGGGTGACATTTTATTGGTAAAAAAATATTAAAATGCTTCCTACTTGCATATTATATAATAAACCTGCATTAGCGAAACTGTTAGGTTCAGTTAAAAAATATTTTCAGTAACGTCCTATTTTTATAATGAAACCTGGCAGTGTTAACATTCACATATTCTTAACTCTTTAATTTTCAACAGTTGGTAGATCTGAATTGCTGAATGTGGCTGAATATGTTACATTCAATTTTGACATTTCTCAAATCTGAAAACAAAAAATTATTTTTTTTGACACGAAGCTGTGTTGCAATTTTTATATTTTTGTAAAGTTTAATTTTTTGTAAACATTTATTTTACAAACGAAAACATTAAAAAAGAACATTTTAATTAGGTTTTTAAAGCAATAATAAGAATTATTTGCAATATATAAAAATTCCGGCATGCAATTGCGAACGCTTTTAAATTAGAGAAAATGGTCAACTTTCTTATAAAATTTTGTGCAGAAATCTAATAAATTTTATTATTTAAAGATTTTATGAATTAGCGACAGGAATTATTAAATTTATTATTTTTTGCCAATTTTAATAGAATGTAAAGTTTTTCTATTGTAAAAATTAATAAAAACGACCAAAATTTTTTTCTAAAAAATAATTATGTAAAAATGAAAGATAACTTCCGCAACAGCGATTGCTTAACAAATTTTGTTTTAATAAAATGGTTTTTTTGGAATATTGTTAGAAAATTTCTTATAAATAACAAGATACTCATAATTTAATAAAAAAATGGATGAGCAAATAAACCGAACTATTTTAGATAATTTTGATGTCGAAAGTGTTCAAGTAATAATAATAAATTATTAAAAAAAGTTATTAATGATGATTATTTTTAGCATGAGATATATAAAATGAGTGGAACGGAAGTTCTAAAAGGATTAGAAAATGGTTCATTACAATTTATAACGGTTCCGAGAGAGGAATTCATTGATCATGTAAGAATAATATTTTTGCAGGATTTTAACAAAAATTCTTACCACTTATAATTTAAGACATTGTTGCCTGAGTATATAACAACACACGGATTTATCATTGATACCATGCTAGATGGGGCTAACACTTCAACAAACGAATCGTTACAACATTCTACAGCTTCGTATATAGCCCATCATTCTGGCCAAACACTAGTAAACTCAAACGAAATTCAGTTACCAACAAATATAGATGAACCTGATAAGCAATTAAATGCTGCTTTATTGCGATTTTTAAAAAGTGGAAATGTAAAAGTAAACGGTGGAAACACTTCAGAAACTCAAGTAATTGTAACGAATAAAGATTTAATTAATTTAACGGGAACTCAAGTAATTGATGCAACAATAAAAAACGATAATTCGAATAGCTTAGATACTAGCACATTTTTGACATTCAATGATGATCAGTCAGGCTTATCTAATTCCTTAATAAGTGATGGTCAATTCAGAATATTTCAGCAACTTTCACCAAACACTCATCAGCAACAACAGCATATCCAAATTAATGCATTAAACAATTCTTCATTACCTCAATTAACCCCAATTAGAAGACTGAATCGAAGTCGTAAAAATTCAATTAGTTTGAATATTACAGACCAGCTAACTATCGATGATTTGAAAGTATAGAAATTAAAAAACAATTATAAATTTCGTACTAAAAGTTTAATTTTAGACTAACACCGAAATAGAACAAATTCAGAGTTTTCAGCATAGGCCAGCAGCTAAAAGAATTTTACCTCATAAAAAGCGAATCACTAAAAAATTAAAGTCTATTGATGGAAATCAAAAAGTTGATGTTTTATTTCAACACTCAGACAATTCTGTGAAATCAACAAATTCGCAAATACAATTTTTTCAAGATTTAAATGAAGAAATTAACGCTGATGAAGTTATTGTAAGTCATAATGGATAATGAACTTCCAGTTTGCAATATATAATTATTCTTTTTTCAGAATTTGAATTCCCCACCTCAATTTTCGTGCCAAATTTGTGGAGCAGGAGCAGAATCTCAATTAGATTTTTTTGCACATTTAAAGCTACATTATGAGCCTAAACCTGAAAGTGGTGAAATTTTAGAAGCTCCTGTAGTCAAAAATCAATCCCAAAAAGAATTTATAACGCAGCAGTCCCAATCTGAACCTCAAATTCAGATGTCAATGAATCAACAACAGTTCACACAAATACCTTTGATTAAAAGGGCAAATCAAGTAACTCAATCACAAAGATTACATCAGAATCACACACAACCATCTAACATAAACGAAACAATGCATTTGCCTCACATGAGGAGGCAGATTTCACCTAGTGACTTGCAAAATATCTCTGTTCAACCAGTTAGAGAAAATCATCATACAGATTCAGAAGAAGGATACATATTAACTACTAAAAAAATTGTTGAATCCCGAGATTTGCCCGATGTTACAAATTTTGCTTTTGAAGGATTCGCACCAATGGGATCTGTATCGAACCACTCACATTCATCTCACACGGTTGTAGCAAAAGATATTATGAATAGTACGCATGAATATGAAATTTTAGACTCTTCTTTAACGAATCATTTGCGGCATGAAAATGCGCATCAAATGCAGTTAACGAAAACAGATTTTCTTCCTCTGCAATCCGCGAGTGAACATCAAATAACACTACCTTCGCGAGCTTTGTTAAATTCAATGCAAGTTGAAGATTCAAGAATGTTGTTACATCAAGGATCAAGGTCTAACGCATTAAGTAAAAATTGTGAAGTAAAATCTCAAAGTTCGCACATTTTACAAAATAACACGGTTTATAGTACAACTACAATTCCAACAAGTTCACAAATAGAACAAAGTTTATTTGAAAATCCTCAATATTTTGAAGCAAAATTCAATAGCTTACCTAACCAGGTATTGAACTTAGAACATAAAATTGATACAATAAGAGTTGAGAACGATATTTCACATTCAATTTCTAACCGAAAAGATAACTTAATTAACTCAGGAACTTTATCGCAACCCTCTTTAATTTGTGAAGATCAAAATAGCTTGCATCAACTTCATATTGCAAATTCCCAGTCTGCGAACGAAGGTGATGGAACTGAGAATATTACACCTAGTATCGGCGAATTAAATGAAACTTCTCTTCAAACAAATTCACATAAATCAAGTACAAATGGTATTGTTATATTACAAAATGATGAAGTTGAATTTAGTGACCCTGAAGATATGTTAGAAGGTATTCGTGGTGTCGTTGATAAGGTACAAGAGTCATTTGATACTGGAGATGAAATGGATGCAATGAGTCCACCTAGAAATAATTGGTAACTGCCTTAAAATTAATTAATCTATTATTTTCTCCAAATTGATATTTTTGTTTAGGTTTCCTAATAATGGTTTTAATAGTGAAATTAATTCTAAAACTATCTGTGATCCTACGCGTTATGAAACAATAACTCCAGTTGAAAATTTCCAAATATTCTTTAAAAATGATGAAAATAATGATATGAAAAAGGAAAGTGCAAAAAAAGTTAGCGAATTATCCGAGCCTGTGGTTAATGAAGAACCATCTGAATTACTAAATAACGACATTTCTAACAGGAATAATACAAATTCTTTACTTGCTGCAGAAAATTCTTTAGCTTCTAGTACAACAAATACCGTACATTCTCAGTCCGAAAATGATAACCAAATGCCAGTTAAGATGGAAAATTTTTCAACCGATTATGAAGACTCTAATACAGAAAAAACTTCTAGTTCATTGGGTGAACCAGTAGATTCTCCGACTTCTCAAATTTCTGAAAAAGAAACACTAAAAAATTGTGGTGTTTTGTCTGGAAAAAAAGAGAGAAAAAAATATTTTTGTGATAAATGTTTTAAAGTATTTAATTCTTCAAACGCTTTAAAATATCATGATTTTGCTCATAGTGGAAAAAGGCCATTTCCCTGCGAAGAGTGTGGTAATTCTAATGAATTTAAACTTTTATTGATTAAAAGTTATATTTTTATTTCCAGGAAAAAGTTTTTTCGCTCAAAATGCCTTAAGAGCCCATTTAAGAGTTCATTCAGGTGAAAAACCTTTTACATGTGTCGATTGCGGACGGGCATTTAGACAGTGGGGCGACTTAAACTATCACCGAATATCTTTACATTCAAACGAAAAGAATTTTCAATGTGAGTTTTGTGGAAAAGCTTTTGCTCGAAAATATTCTTTAGTTATTCATCGAAGAATCCATACGCAAGAAAAGAATTATAAATGTGAATTTTGCCCAAAAACATTTCGAGCTAGTTCATATCTACAAAATCATAGGAAGATTCATACCGGTATTTTGCTTGAATTTTATTATTTTATTTATTTTATCTAAATTTATGAAAAAAATTTTTAGGTGAGAAACCATATGAATGTCCGACATGCAATAAGAAATTTCGTGTATGTGGTGATCTTAGGCGTCATCAGAAGATACATGATAGAACTAAACAAGTGCATGTTGATGAAATATCTTTAAGTAATGTTACCGCTCTTCAACTATCTGATACTGTACTAAATATAGAAGGACAAGAAAATGTTAGATTTCTATTTTCTAAATTCGCAAACATTATTTAAAATATTTTTTTATATTTTTAGAACACTTTTATTGAATATGATAAATCAAATAAAAATCAAACAGATCTCAACACAACAGTTTTCATGTATTCATCAGATGGTAATCTTGATCAACTTTTTAAGACTGACAACATTTCAAATCAAATAAAAGATATTTCATCAACAACATTACCATTAAATATAACCGGTAATGCCGCAGAAATAAAAAACTTGATTAAAAATGATAACAATATAAGAAAGCTAGCGTTATCAACATCTTCAACAGAATTTTCATCTAAGTTAACACCAGCAGAATCATTGGTTACAACATCCAATGCAAATAAAAAAGTTTCAAATAAAAATAAAAAACAAAAAAGTCGTGAAAAGGTGACGTAGTTTTAGAAGAATATAACTTTTATTTCTAGTTATTGTAGTTATTTTAAAGTCGTTTTCAATATTCGTTATATTAACGAAATCACGGCAATGTTAGAGTTTCTTTTCACAATCATTTTAATTTTATTTAATAAGTTATGAAGATTTTTCAAATATATTTTAAAAACTGATTAAATACAAATTTTACTTTCATCTTTTAATTATCTCAAAATATCGATCATACATATTTGTATAAACAATTTTTGAGTCAAACCCCAACATATATTTTGATCAAATTGATCTATAGAACTTTACGATTAACTTAACACAAACAAATTTTACTGACAAAATGAGTTTAGAACTCTTATAGGGAATCTTAAGTAATTGGATAAATTCTTTATTCATCTCCTGTTGAAAGCTTACTTTACAAGAGATTTAATTACATCTTAAAAATCAGCTTTTTGCAAGTGAAAAAATTACAGTCTTAATTTTCAAAAAACTGATATTTTTTTAAATAAAACTTTATTTAGACAAAAAAAATTAACCTATTTGTTAGTTCTTTCATACTTCATCATTTATACAGTTTAGATATGTATGTACTTACATTTTAAAAAAAATTATATAATTTCAAAAAAATAGTTTTGCTTAATTTAAATCTATTTAGTTATATCAAAAATTTTCGAAAATATAAAAAAATATTAGTAAAATATAACTGATTTGAAAAAAAAGTTATAATTTATTGATGTATACATAATTACATTTTATTTAAATATTTTGTTATTAAACAAAAAAAATCTTATAAAACAAGACAGTTTTTCTATAATGTGATATTTTTATTTTAAGGTAAATTCTTTCAAAAAAAATATTAAAAACTTTTGAATTCAAAATAAAATATGTATGTATATACATAGATATTATTGTATATACAAAGAAGGCTATTACAAAATAAAAGCAAATTAAAATTAACATACTTTAGGAAATTCGAAAAATAAAATTTTCTTCTAAAAATATATGATATTAAAAAAAAATATTTAAAGTTAAAATGTTATACTATTATAAATTTCAAAATTTATATATGTAAATTAAAAAAAAATCGAAAATAATTTTTATACTGATTAGTTTAAGTTGAAAAAATTTATATATTGATTATAGGAAATAAAATGTAGTTTGTATTTGAAAACATCTCTTTAATTTAAATTGTAATGAAAATGATCATGTTTGATCCTGATGGAGGGGGGACATCTAAGGATAAGTCTTATGTGACAGATTATGAGATTAATTACAGGATTCCTTTGAAAGCTATGCTTACGTTCTGAGTTCATCGAGCAAGTCTGAAATTAATCATTGATATTACTCCTATGTACGAACAATAGATTACTGTAACTTCAACAGTTTTGAAACAGTTATGAATATTATGTTAGACAAAATTTTTTCAATCGGACCTTCCATAACCTAATCTTTCAGTCTGATAGTTCTTATCTTTGTAGGCCGTTATAAAATAGATATTGTTGTTAAAAAATTCTTTAAAATAAGGAAGCACATTACACAGAATCTAACAAAATTTATCCAAAAATTTGTAATAAAATTTTACGATATATGATATAAATTCGTAATTTTTAAATTACATTAGTTTTATCGCGTACAGATCTAATACGTATTAATTATTGTTATAGTACAAAAACCATAAAATGTTTTATTACTATCTTATTCAAAAGTTAAATCATAAAACTAGGTTAAAATAATCAAAATAATATATTAACAGCGTATTGTTATAAATGTTATGTATGTGTAACAAAATTTTATATAATTCTTCTTAATTAAAAATCAATAAATTAATTCAACGATTTTTTTAATGCGTTTACTTACCCAGATAAATTGTAAATATTACCAATAATATTGCACATAAATACAAACGAAAATAAATGATACGCTGATGTCTTTTTTCTGAAAAATATTTTGTAAGAAATTTTAAATGCATATTTTCTTACGTTCTATGATGTATAAGTAGTATTGTAGTATAAGTCCTCATTTTCAATTTATTTTCTTTGATAATCCAAAAAATATAAGCCAACATACTTTTCACTGCTTAGTTTTGTGGTTAAAAAATTAAAAACCTAAATACTTAAATTTTAATTAAATTAATCTCTTAACCAGCAGATAATATTCTTTATTAAATAATTTCAATATATTTACTAACATAGAGAAAGTTGTATTTTTAGTTATATTACATCCTGTGGACTCAATTTCCAAGTAGATATTATTTCATTTAGATTATTATTATTTATGTACTTATGTAGGTATTTTCAAATTTTAAAATTTTAATCACGTATAATAAGTAACTTACTTACTTATTGGTATATTTATTCTATATTGTTAGTATATATATATCGACAACGAGATGTGAAGATAAAATAAAAGATATTACAAATATCGCAAAAAATTAATAAATAAATGATATCAGACAAATTAAAAAAAAAGAAATGGTAATTTTTAAATGATGTCGATATTATTTTTGAGATTTTCAAAATTGATAAATTTGTTGAGGACTAATAAATTTGTTGTACTTTAAAAATAACCACTCTAAGTTATTTATTTTATGAATGAAGTTTGCGGTAACAATCGGATAATAATAAGAATACAGTATAGTTAGATTTTTATTGTACTCAAAAGTCCGTTCTATAAACAATTATCACTAAATTTCATCATATTGCTACACTTTAATTTTAAATTACAATTAAAGTAGGTAATGAAATTTATAATTGCTACCAGCGAGCCGAAACTATAGACGAACCTGCAGAATGAGACTATATTTTTTTTTGGAAATTTGCTAAGAACTGATATTGCTAAAGTAATTGTTAATTAAATTAAAAGTACTTAAATTCCTAGTACATGCATTTCAACAAGGATATTGAAATTTTTAAGTAAATAATTTGAAAATAAAAAGAAACCAAAATATGATTTTTTTGAACTCAAAAATGCGACAGTATAAAAAATTACTGGATGAATAGAAATTAGAATCTTATTTTTTTTTCTTTATCCTTTTTTAAATCTTTTTTTTTTTCTTTCAGGCGCTTTTTTGTCACCTATAACAATTTCACAGTTATTGTTATATTATTAAAAAAGTTTTTCAATTATTGAATGACATTCATTCATTGGGCCCTTCCCTTAACTACTTATAAGAAATGTATAAATAAAATAACATAATTAATATGCAATATACGTATGTATAGGTATGTATATGATATTTTCATGCTTGTAAATTTGTTTTTATAAATTTGTACTACCTATGTTCATATATTACATGTGCATATGTACATTAAAATACTTAAGCAAAGCATTCAGCCGGAACTATAAACAAATTCTAACCGGCCGGTAAACTGACTATTAGGGTTTGTTTTTTTTTTCTTATGATGTCTAAATGAATTAAAAATGCTGTCAGATAGCAGAATATTTTGACTGGAAATGGATATGAATGTATGTGCATATGTACAGATGAACTGCACACACACATCATGTACTTACATAAATGTATATCCTCATAATTATAGTTATATTATTCTACTAACTAAATTTTTGAGGTTTGTGGTTTGTGAGGGCTATTGTTTTTTTTTTCTTGTTTTAATTTGTTAAGGTGGAAGGTATTATGAAACATGGAATGTTTTTCTTTTAAAGGATATCATATACCATTAGTTTAATATATTTAGAAATATTTATAATTACGATAAGGATATGAATGACTAAAACTGATTCTATACATTATATAAGTGTAGAACTTTTTATATAATATAAATTTATTTGCTATACATGTCTATATATTTTTTGTACAATATTACTATAAAAATTCAAACAAAAAGATTTTTTAAATATTAATATTAATAATAAAGTCTCGCTTTGCAACATAAGCATTGTCATAAATTAGAATACAAATTATAAGAGTGCTTTCCCTTTGAATTTCATTGAGGCTTTGAAATAGGAACTTTACGGCATAGCATAAAGTCATCCTGTAATCAACATTAAATAATGTTACATTACAATATTTTTTTGGAAGTTAGATTGTATGATTGTATCTAAGGCCAAATTTTACTCCTAATTTATAGTTTTTTGAATTACATTGAACATGCTAAATAAGTAATAATAATATACAACCTGGATCTGACTGTGATATATATATGCACATATATACATATATAATTTTAATTTTGTGTTGTATATATTTTATACAAGAGTAAGGCTATATATTTTTAGATTTCCTTTATATTATGTGAAAATGTATGTGAGAACAGAACAGTGAAATTTGATTAAAGTTTGATAAATTTTTTTGCTCTAGCTTTCTTATTGATAATATAGAAAGTGTATAAAATTGAAAAAAAAAAGTTGAAAATTTTTTCTCGAGATTATCTTTTTTACCGTTAGATATGTAAAGTTTCCACTTTACCGTTAAAGAACTTTTATTTTTTTTTATTAAGGGAGGGATTGTAAGGTTCTTGATCATTTAAATATGTCAAAATTTTTATTTACATTTACTAATGGCAAAAACAATACATAATACATAGGAATATTAATTTTGCATTTTTATTAAAAAATAATCAAAAAAGTTGTGTTTGTGCTTAATCGTATCTAAAAACTGTGTCACTGCTTTATTAAGTTGGTCTCATTGGTATGCAGGTTTTGCGGGAAACAAATGTATTTTGTATGACATTCACATTCTCTTTATTTTTTGCATTGCAGCATTTTTTCTCTCTCTTCCTAAAAGTTTAATTACATTTAAGTTTTGTGTGAATTTTTTAAACTTAAGTGCCTTTTGTTTGAGAAATTGACAAAGTAATTTTTTTTTGGTTTTAGTTTTGAAAAATCGTTTTTTTTTTCTGCTTAAATAGGATTTGTCTGTCAATTTACTAAATTAAAGCTCAAATTTCTTTATAGTCATCTTTTAAATAATTAAAGTAATTAAATAAAAATAAAGGTTCAAATTTTAAGTTTTTTCTTTAGAAAGTAACTTAAATATTCTCTATGTGTCTATATAAAATTTTATGTATACACACACACATTTACAATAATTTATTATTTATATATGTAGTGTTATTTATAAAACGTATTTGATTTCACGCTGATTATATCTTTAAACGAAAAAATATTATCAGTAATCGCAAATGTAATTGAAATTTTATAAGATATCATAAAATTTCTTTAAATATTAAATTTTGTTTGAGAATGTAAGATCTCAAGAAAATATAGAAATACTTTATATATTGAAAATTAATTTTAATTCGCTGTGCTCTAATAGTCTTTTTGCTACGGACCATGACCGTAGTAAATTTCGTTTCATAAAAGCAAAAGTTGTTGAACTGTTCGTTAATCTGTTGTAATACAATGTGTTTATGGCTGGCCGGTATCCATCTCCAAAAGTTGATCCTAGCTGATGTTGAATGTATATATTCTGCAATTATAAAAATGAAATTTTAGTGGATAAATTTAAAGAAAAATATCAATTTAGAATATTAAAGAATAGTAGCCTGTTATCGGCACGCAAA